GCGCTGCGCTGATGGGCCGCGGAGAAAATACAGAAACCTACGTCATGACACGGAAAGGAGAAAGTTGGAAATTTTTCAACTCATGACTACGGGTGCCGGAAACCGTAATTACGTCACCGCTTGTACGGAGGGAGCGCTGACGTCACTACGAGTTCCGGCAGCCGTATTTGTATTACAAGCCTGTTTGAACCGCACTTTACCAATTCCCAAGTGAATATACCTTTGCACAAATATATTCACTTGGGAATTGGTTAATAATGTAAATTGTCATTAATTTAAAACGACTTTCAGAGAGAGGTTAATTTTTGTAACTTTACCTCTTCTCCCTTCCTTACTTTATTAATGTTACCGAACTTGACATCCCCCTTTCTTATCTTTTACTAATTCTTCATTAAAACCTCAGTTGTGAGTCAGCACTCTTTCCTTTATGTTGTCTCTTCCTCCTTTACCTTACTTGCGCAGTTTAAGTCAACCTGCTAAATAATTAAGAAAAAAACCCTGTGCATTGACCTTTTCTTTATGTTACTTTGGAAGAAAACCCAACCGCTAAAAAATATCTTTTGAGAAAAAAAACATGACCGTCAAAGGGTTAAATAACCCAATGTTAAAGTATTTTCAGATTATATATTTTCAAAAAGAGCTTTTCAATTTAATTTTTGTGTGGAATTGGGATGCATAAGTCTACACGGTTTTGGAGTGGTTTTCCTCGTCTGTGCCACCATACTGTGACCGACCTGTTGTTCTGGGGCATGGGACAAATAAAGCATTATTATTATTATTATTATTATTATTATTATTATTATATTATTATTATTATTATAAAGCTGAACATTCAATACAATTAAAAATGATTGTATAGTATAATACATTTTTTTGTTGCATACATCTATTCATTCAAGTTTATCATTGGTCATTTGTTGGCAGGCAAGTTTACAATTTATCTGCGCTCCACTGTTGTTACAATTTTGGGGGCTTGGGGCCAGTAGTCAAGCTGTTTTTAACTTTTTTACCTATAGAGAAAAAAATGTTTATCTCTAGTTTTTTATGAACATTCTATTTTGTTGCAAAAATGAAGGATATTTTTATTATTATTATTATTAATATTAAAGTGGGCAAGATATCACTGGTCCGTAAATGCCTAACTGGAGTGGCACTGATAGTAATTGTCATACAAACAAACACCAGAGACATTGGCCAAAAAATTTGCATGTCAATCAACACCACCCGGGAAACCCTCTGTAGAATCCTAGCAAGATTCTCCATAACTCTAGTGCAGGTCTACTGCTACTAGAGCCTATAGAAGAATAGGTGCAGGAGCGGTGAGTTAACCTCGAGCGAATTCAAGTCGAAGCTAAACACAACATCATCAGTGCTTTGCACGCACAAAAAAAAAAAGGTTTCTTACTGTCTACATGCACTAGGCGACACAGTTACTGCGAGCGAGCCATCGCAGGTTTTATCCGTTTTTACGACGGTATTAAGGACTGTCACCAAAACCACTATAGCAGTTAAAAGTGCTCGGTTGGAGTACTAATCTGACTGGTAAATTTTAATGCCTGCCAGTACTTTTTCGAAGTAAAATTTAAAGAAGTGCCAAAGTTGTGTTCGCAATAAAAGTGTCGCGCAGTGCACGTCCATTTTCACCATGTCTCAAGATCTCTTCAATTCTCCTACCTCTACTATCTAGGCGCTACCAAGTTTTCAAATTCAGATGTCATATTAGAAATATTAAAAAAGGAACATATCTGACACACAAATATTAACTGTTGCAAATTATTGTTTTTTTCTATTACGTCGTTGACTTCGGGTTAGTCTTGAAATACATTGAAATAAGTCTCTTGTTTCTTTTTTTCCATGGTTCGCAGAGGGCCTTGCGCTAATCAAACGTGGAAGTAAACGTGCTGGATGTGGCAAAATTAGTACAAAAAAAATAAAAATACCATACTTCTTTAGTGCCACACAAGCATTTTTGTGCAAAAAAGAACAACACATACAAAAAAGAAACTATTTTTCTAGTAACGCTAGAAACTCAGCCGTACGGGCGTGGAAAATATTGAATTAAATACCAAAGCCAGAATGGAACGCAAGAAGAAAAAAAAAATGCAGCAAGGCTCGGCAAGTGCAGCGACCAGCCAGGCAACCTGCGTGCGCCGAAAGGAACGCCTCGTTTGCTACTGCCGGCTAGGGTTGCACTACCTGCAACGAGTTACCTGTGACCGTTTACCTGCGGATTATGTTAATGAGCGGCTGACTCAACTTTCTACCCAGCCGCGGCTCAATGTAGGTCAGAACGCCAAACTGGAGGAGAGAGAGAGAGAGAGAGACAGAGCAAACAGGACAGTGGGAGGGAAGAAGAGACGCCCGCAGACAACGCGGTAAACGGCAGGGGCACAACATGGCCACGTTCCAAGTCTTATTCGAGTAGATCCGAGTTATTAAGGCTGGTTCGCACATCTGTGTTTGAGAGCAAAGGCTCAATCACACACTCGGGACTGTTTACGACCGACTGCGTTACAACCTCTTGGGATGTCTCACGACGAGATGACACACTGGCATCACCTATCGGGTAGCCCCGAAAATACTTCTGACTTGTGTACGACTAGACACATGCTTTGGAGTATTTGCGATGTCAAATCTATACTCACTGTCTACGAGAAATGGTAGCTTCTAACACTGCTAGAAAAATTTTGAGTCCACGGCCAAACAATGATGCGTTAAATATTATAAAAACATACACGTAGGTTGGAAGCGTTAAAGAACTACCTCGTAGGTTGTACACCGTTACGAGAAAAGTCGAGCCACTCGAGCACATTCAGATGCAAATGTGCGAAGCAGCCTCGACGGCGGAGTGAGATAGAGTAAGCTTTGGAATGTGGCCCACGCACACACGCGCCCGATAAAGAACTCTGAAGAACAAAAAAAAAAAAAGGAGATTGTTCAAATCCCATTTCCTTTTCCAGTCACCAGAACAGCATTGTGCTTAGGCAAAAGTTAACCCATTAACATCCTTCGTACGAAGGAACCTATGCACCTTTCAGGTGCTTATAACCCGGGCAAAGAACGCCGAATCACTGGGGTGTGCACGCCACAGCGCAGTAGACAGAGATGGTGGTGCGCGGTAGGCGGTTGTTAGAGTGGTATACACTTAAAGCATACGAACATTCCGGACACATTAATACACCGACACCTAACTGTCAAAACAGGTTATGGTTACTTTGCCATTTATGGCCATATGGGGAAAGACAAAGGAGGCTCGGATAGTCATTACAAAACGGGCGACCGCAAAAGAGAGATCACGGTCCCCACGATGGAGCTCAATGGAGTTGAGCAGCATATTTAGTCGGAAGTTGGCGGAGATATTCTCCACTATATTTAGCGAGGGAATTGCGATGTCACGTGACCCGGTGACGTCATGCGGTTAAGACAACACAAGCAAGAAAGGTCTGTGCAGGGTTTCCTTATGAAGCTAGAGCTTTAGAAGCCCCTACATTTTGGTTAACTTTGCGCCAACACTTTGACCCAAATGAGTGCTCGCAGACTTTACAGCTAAGTCCTTTACAAATTCATGAAACAAACAATCTTTCCTCTGTGGACGGAGATGGTCAGCCATGACGTATCGAACGTAGGCTAACCGCTAAATGAATCAGGTTCACACATCTAGTTCCCGACTCAACATGCACAGGTTTTATAACGGGGTCCGTGCTTCCATTTTTGCAGATCTTCCTACATTCTCTCCCACAATTTTAACAAAAACAAAGGGGCCCAATACCAAAGATCACGAGGGCAATGGCACAAATCAACAAGACTCGTCCTTGAAGATTTTGTTGGTAACTCTACGATTGTCGACTTATTACTTGTACCACAACTGACACATTAAAATACCCTGTCGGAATATTCCGAATAGTCAATAATAGCATGTAAGAAAGCAACATTCGAAAATATTCCAGACTTTTAAAAAATTGCTGCCTCATACAGCATAGAACTAGTAAGCCCTTGACACACCAACAATAAAGTGCTGGAACAGAAGTGAACAGAGCTAATATCTGGGTACAAAAACCAAGGGCCCTTATTTTGGCTGCAATCATTAGACTGCACCATGCTCAGAGAAAGGTAAGCTAGCAAACATCGCTCGTACAAAGCTCAATCTGTACTTAAAGCCCAACATTTTCAGGTATTATATTTGTCTAAAATGGGAAACATCTTTTCGCATAACCCATTTAAAATTTGGGGTACAAAGCCGCCTAATTGCCCTAGAAGTCACTCACCGGCATTTACTTGCATTACCAACACATCCAGAAAACTGCAAACTCTAATGTCTTGCCAAAGCCGTCGCAATCACTGCGATCTTGGGTTGTTTTACAAGGCAAGATATTTTTCTTTACCACAGAATATGTTGAAGCACCGGGATCCCCGAGGAAGATGTGACGAGACATCATGAAAATGAGTCACACGGATGTCAGAGGGAAAATCAGTACAAAAGAACATGTAAGTGAGAAGAAATAACAATTAAATTGATAAGCACAAAATTCCAAACAGAATCAAACCCAGTAGCCCGAAATTGTGAGCCCGATATTCTACTGTTGTGCCAAGGGGAGGCTTGGGAACGAAGTGATTACTCTTCTACACTAAGGGCAAGAGGTGCGGGGATAATTGCACGATTATGTCGCACGACCGTATCACTTGAACTGACACAACAAAAAGATTCAAAGGAGCTGTAAAAGAGTGAGAAAGCACATAGGCAGCAGCGTGACCATATAATATGGCCACGTAAGATGATCTGATATCACGGGAAGAATCGAATATGCATGATTATGAATTTATAGGCTCGATTTGCCTCGATCTTACAAATAAAGTCAGAACAACACGTTCTGCGTATACCAACTTCATCCGCAGGATCGAGATGAATCGAGCGTGTAAATTTTTAAGTCTCGTGATACGTTTGACCTTTCTTTATACAGAGGAGGCCAGAGACTGGGCATTTCTCGGAGGGGTCCCCTCACCAGCTTGATGATCTTGATGAGCATCCAGTTGTTGGTGGAGCTCGTCATGAGCTTGAAGAAGACCGGTGCCAGGGACAGGTAGTTCTTGGGGTTCTTGCGCGCAAGCTCGCAGATCACGTTCACGGACGCAGACTGGACCCCTGCGCACCCGAGAACGACCCCCGTTTGTCGCGACCTTTGGTATTAGCAGAGACGCCAGGAAATTTCAACTCGAGCTCAATTTAACACATTTTCGTATATCAAGTTGTTGATTTAAAATTTTTTAATAATCAAGTTATTGATATATTGAACCCTTTTACGATCCCCTTTGAATTCTACATATCCGGGTTTGACTGTACTAACAGTAAGACCATTGTCCTTCCACTTTTGATAAGTACTAACGACGACAACTTTTGCACACCCAACGAGTTTTGCAGCTCCCGAGATTCTTGCTCCGAGTCGTCGGGCCCATCACAATCTGCCCTTTCCAAAAGCCACCAAACAAACTCCCTTTAAAATATGTGCATACATTGTTAGCTACCACCTGGATTAACAGGTGGTAGAAAATGCGAATAGAACGTCATCTAAGTGCACTCATTTGCACAGTGAGGGGGACGTCATAATGTTTCGGCTGATCAGTGTATATTTTATGTAAAGAATTTAAAAAAAATCTAAGTGTAAAGAAAAAGAAAACCGAAATCAAGGATTAGCAAAAAAGGAAAAGAGGCATCATTAAATGTTGCTAGTCCAGCGGTGCAAATGTTATATTTTTTTCTCTGTGTGTTTTTTATGTTCAGCTAACCCCATTCACAAGCAATGAACCAACTTGCTCAGCTAAAGCCCGTAAAGTTGTCGAGTATATTGCGAGCCTTCTCAGAAATTTTGTGACCAGAAGTCGGCCCTTGCGCTGTAGTGGAATAACCGTGAAATTCATCTCATTGGTGTAGCCAGCTTGAAATAACCACAACTTTCTAAGTTCCTGCAGTGTTACCATCGTATGCTACATACGCACTTGCAGATCCAAGCATATTTTGACGAGGATTTTGAACAAGTGCCACAGTACTCTGCAGCCTCGGCACAAAGGCATCTGGCATACATGATAATCAAGTGATCTCATTGGGAGTACAAGACCCTGGTTCTGTCTTATCAGAGTGGCCAGCATCCTATTATTCTGAAACGTTTTCTCACGACTTTTAGTTCCCGACATCGCTGGCATCATCCAGGCATTTAGACAATGTAGGCGATCAACCGGCCAGCACATCGACTGGCCAGGGTGGTTGACGAGCAATCTAAGAAAAAAATATTTCCGTCCTACCTGCTTAGGACAGGCATGCCTCAAAATCAATGTCTGCCAAAAAAAAAAAGGAAGTTTCTTTGCCCAATATTTATGCTAAAATACAAATTTTTTGTATTTACAAGCGAAGCCAGAACTGTACTTTCGTGGAATGATGATGGTAGCGCTTGTACACAAGTAGTGTGCGCTTCGAATTCGCTGGAGCTCAGAGTTGCCTGAGTGTGCACACTAGTTGGGTACAAACGCTATCATCATTCCACAGGGCTACAGTTTCGGTTTCGCCCGCAAATCGAAAAATTCATATTGTAACATAAATATTGGGCAAAAAAATTTTTTTTCTTCCAACAAGCATTTATTGTGGGACGTGCCTGTCTAAATTAGGTAGAAATATATTTTGTTCCAAGGACGGTGTTTTTTTTTAAGTTGACGTTACAGCCGACGCTACTAGCCACTAGGACCAATCAAACAGCACCAAAGCGCGACATGATGGCATTCATCATCTCCCCCACTGTGTTCTTTCGTCGGCTAAACCAATCAAGGACAGCGAATGTCCCGTGACTTGCGCTTTTATTATGTGTTTGTGGTCGTATGCGTTCAAGTCTTCGACTGTGCTCCAACCTAAGATGAAACAAACTGTACGTTGAGTAGATGCCACAAAATAGATATTTGTACCATTTTTCTTTCATCTACCGTTCTAAGTATTAGGGTCGACCAATAATAAAATATAATCTTTTTGCTTTAAGCCCTCTTGGCACAGGTGTGGCAGACTTTCGTTCATGGTGCAATTCGGCGCAGCACTTCCATCGCCGTGATCCCAAAGGTGGCATAACGGCAGAGGCAGATGTGGCAGACGCCAGTTCTGTTCCACGTTGCTCTTCAGCTCGATGGGCCACAGGTGGCTCGGCAGCTAGGGGTTAAGATGCCGCTCCGACAGTGAGACTAGCGTTTGCTCCAACCTTTTGCCGGAACTCATACGATCAACTGCTAAACACGCCAGTCAGAGAAGACTTCCAAACATGGTAATTGCACGAACCCTACGGTGCTCCACCTCGAACCCCCCTTTTCGGGGGAGGGGGGGGGGGGGGGGTCACCCATCCTCACCAGGGTCGGGGTCCTCCAGCTTCTCCTTGAGTCTGGGGAAGGCCGGCCGCAGGGCCTCGGGGAAGCGCAGGAAGATCTTGTACATGAGCAGCACCGCCTTCTTGCGCAGGTACGGCTTGGTAGACGTCAACTGCAAGTTACAGAAGCCCACCAGGTACGGAAAGCTAGAGTCACCGACGGTTAGGACCAGTCAAAAATAAAACGCAAGGTAACTGTACTGCTAGAGCAGGGCTGCACAACTCAAAAATGATGCGGGCCAACAAGAATGTTTATTGGGAACTACGCAGGTTTCTCATAACTGGCAGACAGGCTTTCAATATGTGGCATCATCGCACTGGTTACGTCTTGAGCATATCTCGCAGTGTCACGTCCGTGGGCCGCACAGGAAGTGCCCGCCAGACAGATGCGGCCCGCGGGCCGCATGTTGTGCACCCCTGTGCGGCCCTGATCGATGTTAATATATTCAAGTTAAATTTGTTTCGTAAACAATGCGCCAGTGTCGCGAATAAATTTGTTTCGTAAACAATGCGCCAGTGTCGCGAATAAATTTGATTTAATCGCAGGGCCCCTGGACCGCTCGTCCGGGAAGGCCGCCGTGTTTGGAGGGTCAGTGATGCACACTACCGACCGTCTCTAGAGGCGTGGCATCGCAACCGACACGACTGGACCGCCCCCTTGCGTGCGCTTGCAGACTTGGCTCTCTCGGTGTTGCGTGCTCAAACATCCTCGTTTACCTTCTGCGGTTCGAGCGTGCCGTTTCGGGCAATCGGCAGTTTTTTTTTCTATTTTCCTGTCACAATCAAAGGGCTCTCATCCAAACTACTAATGTGGTGCAAAGTGCTCACTAAGGCGCCAACTTACCTGGTAAAATTTGATGCCCACCCTTACGAAGTAAAAAACAAACATGTGCCGAGGACGTGTTTATGCGAACAGTCACGTAGTGTACATTGATTTGTGTTTAGCATTTAGCAACTTTGAGTAAGCAATGACTCAGCGTCCTCCAAGCATCACATGGGACGGACAAAAGCGAGTCAGCGAAAAACGAGAGGCAGTGTCTGAAATACCTTCGATTTCAAAAGTTCTACAGAGAGCAACCGTTTTGTCTGGAATGTCTCGGAGCCCACAGGAAAGATTTACGAGCTGTCTGATGTGAAAAAAATCGCCCGGCTTACACATTCCATCAAATAAAACAAAGGAACAATAGCGCTTCATTTTTTTTTAAATTTTAATGAGAAACACTTGCCATTGGAACGCAATGCAATCTGACACGTGGCAAAACAAAAGGTGAATGAATAAAGGACTTTTTATTCACGCATTTCTTCTTTGGGTGCACTGCATCATTTTCTCGCAAAGGCCGCCACAGAACATACAATCTAACCGCGAAATGCCTCCGCCTCCTAGATCATTCTACTAATGCACAGTTCGTACCCTACTATGCAGTGGAAGGGTGGAGGGGCAGGGAGAGGGGAGAGTTAGCCAGACTTGTACATAATGCATTACCAGTAGTGCATTACTCCTCTACGTTTGTTTATCTTGGTAACAAAGTAACAACAGCACTGCTTTCCGAGAGAAGAAATGAGCAACGTATTTTCATTACTTTTTGATAGCTGCATTTAGCCACCTCCAGAGAGGGATGTGTACAAACACAAGTAAGCTTACTCGGTTTTAACCCCAGCTCACACCTGTGACTGCACAGCAAAAAAGCGCCAAAGAGAAAATAAAAGGAAAGATGGCTCCGAGTGCGTTAAAAGCTAGGCATTATTAATGACGTGAAATATCGGAAGGCGACTACCGCTTCAGAAAGACGACGCATCCAGAGTAACGAGAAAGTCACTCATTAATGTTGACCTCAAGTAACACGTTCCTCGTGGATCTCAGCAACGAGCAATGTACTCACCTAGTTACTTTCCGAGAGAGTAACGAGTGGTTGGGTTTAGTTACACGTTTTTAGGAACTTGTACATGTCTGGTATTAGTAGTACTATGCCGATGGTTGTGTATGCTGCGACCTTAAACTAACAGCTGTGCTCCGTTGGTAACACCCTCTCCCACTGCCTCGCTACAGCACGGCCAACACGAGCGAACAAGGTCTGTGGAGGGTCCCCATTCCAGCAGTTCGAGAACACCATAGCCACTATTGTATAACTAGGAGCCATTTAACTGTACTAATAATACCTACACTTTGTTACATCATTCCTATACTTTGGAATCACTTCACTCTCTAATGCCGTAGGACCTGAGGATACATGAAATAAAGTTATCGGTTTATAACAGAAATGATGCACTCAACGAGGCCGACTCACCAGGGTCATGACATCGTTGGCAAGGTCACGAGCGAGGTCGGGGGTCACGAAGCATGCCAGCCCACTCATGGCCGTGCCGGAGTCGTACATGCCCTGGCTGTTGAGGTCCTGCACACAAAGTATGATATGTACCAGTCACAGAGGGCAAAAAGAAAGCTTTTCAAAAGGTGCAAGTACACAAGTCTCACATTCATTTTACCTGCAACTGGGAACAGAAGAGCTGGCAAAACATATCAATGAGGCTCTACCGTGAGACCTAACTGAGGCTGCACTTCCCTCATCCTTTCCAATTTCATAAAAATTTAGAGCCCAAGGAGAGTTGGCTTCGATAATGATGAGGCAAAAATCAACTGATCTTTGAAACTGGCTGTCCAGGATTAAAGGCGTCCCCCACAGGTCAGGACGAAACAATGCTTGGACCGAGTGCCAAATTGGGAACTTATTTTGTGACCAATGAAGGCCTGCCCCCTTACTAGTGCAAAGAAAACGAGGCCTCACCTTGCGAATCATGTTTGTGGTGAGCATGAGCACGTCTGTGCCCTCGTGGAAGCTCTGCGAGGCAGCCAGGTATCCAATGCGCTGAAAAGAAGAGATGTCGTTTAGAGAAAAGGTAGAGTGCCTCAACCCACCAGTACAATCGCAGAGACGTGCCCATCCAGACAGCAATGGGCAAACTAAAAAAATTAGCCTCTTCCCCACAATAATCTGGCAAAGGCAGTGGTAATGCAGAATGTATTGCTTGTTGCTTTGTGGTGATGTTGCACAGACAAGTTTGGGAAGCACTTTTGAGCCTGCGCAAACAACGGCATGCCGACGCCCAACAATGACGATCTCCGCAAGAAAAACGTGCCAAAGCTAGCACTCCGGTAAAAGTTTCCTGTGGTTGCGCACCCCAGCTTCGAAGCCGCAATTTCACAGCGTGCTTCCTCGGAACTTCTCTTCTCTGTTGCTTTACGCACACCACGCATGCAAGTGTGCTGGCTGCCTTGCGACGACATCTTAAACTTCCTTTTCGCGTGTGCACGATGGCACCGTCAATTCAGCGTTGAACTCGCAACTGGGAGGCACCAGAGACGATGCACGGGGAGAGGGGGGGAGGACCTGTACACTGCATGGCCTGTTCCCGGAAAAACAGGCATAGGCCAAAGGGGCGACCTTCCTCACCTTGAAGGTGAACTTTGTAGAACTCATCACTTCGATGATGTTGAAGGCAGCCCAGCTGATGTCGTAGCCCAGCATTTGAAGCTGCACAGACCGAACAAGGCAACGATGGCTGAGTCTTTAGAAGAAAGCCCCCAATGGTCTCTTGAGCTTCCAGCCATGACCATTCGCTTTACTGCTGATGGGCTAAGCAGTAAAGTGATCTTGGTTGGCTTAATGTTACCTCCAAGAATGACACCGCTTGGGGACAACATTTAGCTGATTGAGATGGCTTTGCAACTAGTCCCGTCGTCTAATGTAACTTTGCTGGCTGCGGTAAGGAAGGCTCTAACCAAAGCTGTAAAAGTCACTCATGAAAATCGCAATTAGATTACAGTTACATGAGTTCAAATGTAATTAAGTTACAGCTACAGTAATACACTCACAATTGTAACTTTCTGCAACGTTTTGCGAACAACGGCACATCCATTCAAGAACAGCGTAGGAAATTTCGGAAAGTAACCAACTGAACCAAGTTACAACAATAATGTAACAATTACAGTTACTAACATTTTATTGTAACTTATTATTTGTTTAAGTACTGAAAATGTAACAAGTATTTAGTTACTGAAAATGTAACAAATTACAGTAACTTGCAATTAGTTTCTTTACAGCTCTAGCTCTAACAGAATGTGGCAAATACAACACGACGACAATAGAGAAGAAAGTCACTGTTGTCACAAAACCGGAAAGTTGATGATAACAAACAGAAGGTACAACAAGAATTTTAGTATTACCATGCAAACTCTCTCGGATTACATCAGGATCAAATGGAAAATCCAAAGGGCAACCGATAAGACCACTGGATCTCAATGGAAGTGATGTTTTCAGCTGAATTTTTTCTTTGAACTGCACACTTCCCATAAAGCCCTAAGTATCGATTGTCAACTAAATGTGATAAATAGATAGCACAATGCGATGCAAATCAATGCAACAAATCACCGTTGTCACCTTACGATAATGAGGCATCAACAAAGTTCCTGTACCCTATAATGCTCCCCAAACAGGACTGAAATACACTACAGGATGCTGCTAGCAGAAACATGACCTGGGCAGTCTTTCGTGTTTCACTTCTAATAGATACTAGTGAACATCAAATTTAACCACTTAGGTTAGTGCCCCAAATGAGCACCTCCCACCATGCTGTACAGGGTTGTCAAGATAAATCCAGACTTTTTCTAGATTTCGTCTCTCAACAATACAGTGAAGCTAAATCGCCGTATTGCGCCTCTCCGGCCATGTGATTAGACAGCGGACCATCGCATAACAAAAAATCCGCGAATAGCTAAAAAATTAGCAGGGAATACGACCGGAGGGCAGCAATACTTGAATCACCTCACGCCGGAAAGTCGCCGAAGCAAATTGTTGTGCGATATGGCTACAAGATGACACAAGCTTACAGCACTGCCAAGACGTCCAGATAATCTGCCAGCCAGGAAGACGTTACTGCAGAACGAGCAAAGCACAGAAAACAGTCGATATTCATTTTTCTTTGCCTCTGTGTGTTTTCCTGAATATGGTGAATTTTCCGGATTTATCTCGACGACCCTGTAGTAGTTTTCATGAAAGCCCTTTGATCCTAAAATAATAGAAAAAAACTCATCGCTTGTTCACACTAACGGTGTTTCACTGTGCACACCAAGAGGCAAAACATTACACTGATTTCACCAGAAAGAGATCCACAATATATGGAAGAACAAACGTGAGCACTCACATAGGCCAGCTTTGCCACCGCATTCGCCTTGACTGACATGTTCTCCTGCCTCAGCTCTTCTTTGATCTCGTCCATGCATTGTGAAATGTACTTGGGCTGAAAGTAGAAAGTCATTCACAATATGTTCAAAACATGCAACTCTCCTAATCTATCCTAAATTTCCAGACACTTTGCTGTACATCCGACAGACTATGCAAAGAGGCTTGCTAAGTAATCTAAATGTTGTCCTGAAACGATGCCATCATTCTATTTGATGCTGTTCAATGCACTCACAACTTAGCTTTCTGTGCTTCCACAGAAAGCTTAATAAGCTTTTTAATAAGGGTTCTTACAATTTACCAGCATTATAAATATTAATTTATACTGAGATAAAAAAACTACAAGTCATTGTTTCTATAAATGTACCCAGGGAAAACAGCAACATATAAACTATTGTAGGGTGATGATGCAATTAATGCAAAGGTGCAAGCAAGCTGAACAAGAATGACGAAAATAATCCCTGGAGAAGAGGAACAAGGAGGACAAAGGACAAACACAAATCTCCAAACATAGCTAGGTGACTGGTGCGAGGCCAAAAAAATCAGCCTGGTCCTGGTATCAAACCAGGGACCCCTCTATTTGCAGTGGAGCGTTGTTATCGTAGAATTCCGTGTTTCTGTTTTTTTTTGTTGTTTTTTTTTGGGGGGGGGGGGGGGGGGGGGGGGGGGAGGGGGGTATTTTTTTCCACATTCAATGCCCCAAATTTAAAAAAGAAGAAAAAAAAAACTCAGAAAACATGGAACTTTAACGATATGGTATGAAAAGTACCTTTTAAATAAAATTTGCACAAGTTATGGGCCCCAACACTTGCTAAGCTCTTTGATACAGATATTTCTAAACGAGTTTCCAAAAACACTAGACATTATTATTAGCTGCAATTCTTGGCAGACTTTGAGAACCAGTAAAAGGCAGTATATTTTAGAGCCTCCGTTACATATTATCAATATTAAAACAAAGGTTCCGTGTCTCTTATTATTTTTGCCATATTCCTTCAGTCGAGTATATGAAAGTAATGTACTAATTAAAGGCATCGTTCAATAAGATTATTGAATTAACCCTTTCTTTTTTTGGCAACTCACTGGCACCATCTATTGGGTAGCCTTGGCACACTTCTGGTTCACATATATTTCCTTATTTTTTACCCATCTTTCTTTTATCATAAGAGTGAACGAAGTCTGACAGGGCTATAAATGGCCATTTCCTAAAGATAGCGTGTATATTTAATTTCGTAAATACTGCGAAACCCGGCGTCTAGTTCAGAACCGGAAGTGGTTGGGGCTATTTGCACATGGCACCACCACGTTTCAACTCACGCGAGAAAGAGTGAATACTGTGATTGTTGCCGCACTGGAAAGGGGGCTTAGGCAACCTTTTGCCCTCCCAGACATGGTTGTCTAAATAAACATAATTCCTTTCACTCTCTTAAGGACACATGTCTCACATGTGACACCATTCCGCAGTACTAGTTATTTCAATAGACCGATTTCAACCAGCCAGTTTGACTACTATGTCAATGCTGCCACAACCTCACCAGAGCACTATATGTGAAGAGCACGAGACGGCTTGAGCAGTCTCCATGCACTGCCACCCGCCTCCTATAAACTAATGAGGTGTCACACATGCACCAAACGCTTAGCGATATCAGACTATTGATTACCTGCACCAAAATATTGCCTCTGCGGCATGAAACTAACAGGATAGATCAGGCAATGTGACACTATTGTCCATTGCAACTCAAGAAGGTAGAGCGAGGGTAAGACGGGCCGGGGAGGAGGAAGCAGACGGAAGGCTGGAGAAGATAGAGGGAAACCTCCTTCTCTCTTTAGCGTTCCGTCTGCTTCCTCCTCCCCGGCCCGTCTTACCCTCGCCCTACCTTCCTGAGTTGCAACAAACTATAGTTAGTGTTCTGCAAAGCTGGTGGCAGTGTTGGGTAGAGCGTACCCAAAGAGCACTTCAAACCAGGCACTCATGAAAGCAGCTTGAGAGGGTTATCCTCAACACGGCATCAGTGCCTTTACTCAGATGGATTTTGCATTTCACTCAAACAGATTAATGCCAAACATGAAATTTTTGTGCCTATGTTGCATGTCCCAGTGGATTAGTTCCTTTAATCACCACCTTTCTCCTGTAAAAGGAACATAGAAAACAGCAGAGATTGTTCAGGTTACGCTAGGGCTCTGTACTTCAATAGAATAAATTACAACTAGACTGGATGCTGCAAGACAATACACTTGCAAGGCAAAGTATGCATACTTTTTGAAGTTTTTGGCAACATTTATTTGTTCTCTAAACTTGAGTTTTTTATACTGTTGTATGAGCATCTTCAAGTGTGTAATCCTGCGCTACTTACACGGCAAAAATATAGCAAACACAAATCGACACCTTTATTTTTTTTTTTCTTTATGTTCCTTTCATTTGGCTGATCTCACTGTGTAAATATTACTTAGGCAGCAAAGAAACTGCCCAGAGCTAGTTTTGTTGCTCCCATCGAACTGGCTCCACCTGAACAAACATTGGACATTACAAACGGACATCCTACAAATTCTGTGATTCCTTGAGATGGTGAAAAAAAATTAATTAGAGTTGTATATTTATTTATTGATCAATCATATGCAGAATTGTGCTTTATCACAATCCAGCGAATGTTAACTCAAGTCTCAGACTTCTGGGCATGTGTCACGGTGCCGTGCTTAGCGTCACCACATCCTCCTCTTGTACTGTTGTTTTTTTTCGCAGCTGGCAAAAGTTTTTGCAGCTGGCGAAGTCTTTCTGAAGCAGCTCGGAGTCCTTTCTCCCCATCTCTTCCGATTTCTTTTTTTTTTTTCCTAGTTGTTTTTATTACCGCAGTCGGGTTGTGTGGCGGGTTGTGTGGCGAGCAGAGCTCGCAGTTCAGGTGTTTGGCAGTCAGCCAACACCCTTGGACCTTAACATGCTTCACTCACTGCCTACACCGTGCTCACTGTTAAAGGCTAAATCAGAGTTGCAGTGATATGACTGGTTAGAGTCATTTTGGAGCATAAGTTTTCACTTAATTTTCATTGCCCCCTACCACTGCAACTATTGCACGCTAAGATTAATCCGTCGGCCTGTACATCAAGAGACACTGTCTACTTTACCTTCCCACTTATGCGCAACTTGGACATCAAATGCATGGCAGGTGCCACATTTTTGCACCATCAATTGCACACCCTTAAACACAGAACTAGCCGTTGCGCGTCAAAGTACCAAGCACGTCAACACTATGCTGAATATTGGAGGGACAGTATTAACTGCTGTGAATGGTTATTTTAGCTAGAGAGCTAAAAGCAAACCTAATAGTATATTCCACGGAAATCCTGTTAGAACAGAAAAATATTGAACACCCAGGTTAATGTTTCATTGAAGTTCTAAAGGCTGAAATAATACTGGAATCTTTAATTTAGAGAAAAACAAAGCTTTTGTCGTTTTATTATTAACATCAAGGACAATTTACATGTAGGACTTCACAATAAAAAAAATCGGTATTTTGAACAATACTTTGTTCCATCATACAGATGGAACCTATGTAAAAGCAATAATTGGACCAGAGAGAAGGCATAAAAAAATAAGCTTATAAAGAAGTCCATTTAAATATTCCCGCAATACATATCCATGCTAAATCTCAAATTTGAACAAAAAAAAACAAAAAAATCAGAAGATTGCAGTCTATCATACATACTAAATGGTTTTATTCAAAATTTTAGTGCAATTTGCAACATTGTAAGTGCTACATCAGCACTCGCAAAGTTTTCTTCTTTTTTTTTTTTTAATACACTCGACGACTGTGCGTACAACGCCTTGTTTTGGAAAAGTGATTTCCCCTTAGTACCATAATATCATGAGAAATAGCCCACCCAAAATTGACAGCAAATCGGGCAAAAGTAAGGAGTGGGCTAACTTTTGGTGTAAAATCAAGAAAATGTGAAAACACACTATTCTTAGATCGTGTTTGCCTATCAAACCTAATTTTGCGGTGAGGGGCAATGAAGCAAAAATGACTGCATACTTTCCAGTCAGCAATATTCGCTTATATTCTGCCGCAGCTAACTAGCCGAATTTACGCTGATGTCATCATTGATCCGAACACTGCGACTACTAGGAGCGGGCTATTTTTCGATATTTAAAAGAAAATAGCAAATCAAGCCAAAAATAGAGGTGGGTCATCTTTCAGTAGTCGGGAACGTCTCAGGATATTACGGTAAGTGGCTGCGCTGCGGCGAAGCATGACTGAAAAAGATTGCGATGCCCTCTCCGCAGTTTTCGCTTCACCACAGTGCACCAGTGTGCGGTGAAAAGCACTCTCAACGAAGCTACATAACCCCACCCGAACAGACCACGGGCATAATAATATTATATGACCTCTGAGTACGGTCAGTAGTTAATAGAGAAATCAAATCGAGGAGTATGTTACGTAAATCAAAAGTTCAGAAATGGGTCTTCAGCTGCTATATTTTCAGTATTAGTAAGGTGAAATTAACTTTTAGCGCAACGTTGGCGCAAATCCATCACATTTTGTCGAAATGAAGCAGGATGTAGCAGAGTAAGCACTTTGGTGCAGTATCGCACAGCAATCACACGACTGGAGTGCCTTCCCCCTTCAGTGGGAAGGCAATTCTGCATTAATACTGCAACCATTGTATCTTTTGTCTTGAAAGATAGGCATATTTTAGAGCATGGATCTGTTGTATGCAACCCCTATTTAAAAAAAAAAAAAAAAAAAAAAAAAAGTCAATTTATTTGAATCTATCCAGGCTAAGGATGTAAGATTTATTTTTTAATAGGTGCGACTCCAATTTCTCTCTTTTATCCACTTTGTCATCTCTTGGGCTGGAACCACTGCGTTGGAGGCTAAAGACAGATTGTCCCAAAATGTATCTCAGAATTGTCAGTGAAGACTGCAGCATCGAGCAAACTAAATACATTTCATTTTCTTCTACTACGCACACCAGACAACCTTACCCATTAAATGGTGTTCCATTTCAGCATCATAAAAATAGTTTTAAAGATTTGTTTTTCCCGAAAACTATTGTTGAATGGAATGAAATTGACGGACAGATGCATATTCTTTCTAGTGCTGATTTTATTAGCGCAATTAACAATCTTTCCTTCCCTTAATGCACATAGTTTTCAGTTCATTTTCAAGGGCATCTTGTTTTTCAGTGTTGTTTTATTAATGTATCTGTATTTTCCAGTGCTGAAATGACCTCATATGAGGTCGCAGTGCATGTAAATAAAAAAAGTCAAACCCTGTGCGAGGATTTTCAAAAAGGCCTTCCTTTCATCTAGGATACCAAAGCCAACACCACATTCAAAAAGATCCCAACTTTTCTATTGTTGGCCAACGGTTATGAAGACGTATGATCACAGCTTTTCCATAACCACCTCTACCGGTGCGTCTGCATACAGACATAGTACCATGATTCAGCAGTCTAATGGCAATGAAGTACAAATGACTGCTTTCGCCCCACACAGACCAACAGCTGCAGAGCAAAGATACTCTGTGGGCATTAGAGAAGCATGTGCATGCCCGTGATCCTGTGAATGGCGGCACAAGATGTTAGGCCGCCGTTTCACCCCTCAAGCTGACCTCGATGATGTCGTTGGCATTATCTAGTGCAAGCCGTCGGCCCCTTCAATATACAAGATGTCCGACACATCATCTCCACTACAACGTTCAAGTAGAATATCAATCCAGAGCTGAAAATTAAGTTGTAGATGCACATTGTCTCTTTCCAGGGCTGGAAGATGGAGAAGGTGCAGAATTTGAAGAAATCCTTTACTTTGTCCAATGGATAGCCAAACTACAATTGCAAGAATTGTGTCTTGTGCGATGGTGCCTTTGTCACTATTAAAAGATGCAAACTTGATGCATGCTCCCAAGCTAGGGTTCCTACAACTCAGTATCAGACACGTCAATCTCAGATACTCTACTCAAGATACTCTCTTCGATACACTTTTGTTGGTACTTGGGGATCGATGCCGATCGATACCGATGATAGGTCTGCTGTGACTTGAGAATATTTGGGATGGCAGCACCCAATCAGGATAACCTAATATTTTCATGTGACCCCTATGGAAGTGATGAGAATAAGTGGAGGCAGGGTTTGAATTTCTCCTAGTTTGCTAAGAACTATTTTTGTGGGCTAATGGCCTCACAATGACAAGTTAGCATTGATAATGCTATGTAAAGCTGTAAAAACATGTTATTACTTTGAAAGTTTATGCCTAAAAAGAGAAGTGAATTGCTTTCGAAATATGACCACAACAAAAGGTAGCACATTGCCGTTTCAGTGGCTGTGGCGTGTTGTATGCCAAGTCATCAGAAAAAGCTTCTCCATACAAAGCCAGCCTTAGTGGTCACAGAGTCATGGGAAATTGGTAGATTTCTACCTTCAGCTAGTCTCAGATCTGAGCAAAATCTGAAGAACCACGGCACTTCCCACGCAGGTGTCCAGTACCGCATGCGTACGGGCCAGGTTTCAATTTCTTAGTTTTAGTTTCCTAGTCTTCTTAGTACTATTTCTTAGTATTTGTGCACTCATAGCTGTCTCTGGAACAAGCCTCTCTTTTAGCAGCACAGAAATCGTCAATGCGCACTTGTGCTTCGACACTGGCACCTTGCTGGTACTTCCCAAATAGCATTCAATGTTGTGCGAACACTCCCTGGATGTTCTGATTAAACCACCATTTGGAACGTTCTAGGAACGTTCGTATGCGAACATTCCCTACAAGGTAAGCTGTTCAATATTCTAGGAACGTTCATTGGTGAATATTCATATGCACAATGTTCTCGGAACGTTCCCCTTCGAACATTCATATGCACAACATTCTTGGAACATTTGCTTGAGAACAATCCTAGAATTTTCGCAGGTGAAGCCAACTTCACAGAGCTCTTACGCAACCTGTGTTCTTTAGCTTGGAGTGTGTAATCGGTTACGTATACAGCACATTTTGAATGATAGAAGTTGACAAGTGACAGGTAAGAGTAAACTGTCATTAGTACATGCTCAGGCTGGTGCGCTGGGAAAGCGGCTAGCTTGAGCTTATACCTCCTAAAATCAGTTTCGATTAAAAAATATCACTCTGTGAGGAGCTTTATCACATCCATATATGTAGTGCAGCTCATTGGGCCTGTAGCCTATGCAAACCGTAACATTGGAATCTTTGTAAATAGACCTCAGTGAATGTTCCCTGAATGTAGCAATATGTACCCACGCTACGTTCTGGGGAGATTTAAAGTATGTCCCTGCATAAATTTGCAACATTTCAAGAAAGTTACAGAAGTTCTTTGGATGTTCTAAGAACATTCTTAAAAACTTGCTAGGATATTTGAATTTTTAATGTTGATTGAATGCCCCGGTAATGTTCTATGTTATTCTCAGAACGTTCTAAGAATATCCCTTAGAAAATGATCCCCGAATGTAGCGATAAGTGCCTGCGCCACATTCTGACAACATTGATAGAATGTTCTAACGTAAATTTGCAACATTCCAAGGTACGCACTACGTCGTGCACCTCCACCGGAAATGGCCATACGCACTATGTGAAACTCGTATAAAGCGAATGGATACGAGTTTCCGAAGCGGTGGCGTAGCATAGTAATAAGATGTCTGCTTCCTACGCAGCGGGGCCCCAATTCAATCCCCATGTGGGCATACTATTTTTTTTCTCTATAACATTTTTTTTTATGTTGTTTTTATGTTAATTACAATTAACATTGACAAAAAAAAAAACAAGAATGTTGTTGACGAAATTTTGCAGAACTAGATGGTATGGGACTCCCTTTCCGGAGGTGCAATCGGGGATAGCGGGGCTTGGGTTGTCGGCTGGCGTGTACGGGTTAAGTTTTGTAATTAGCAGCCGCACACTGTCGCCGCAAAGCGGTGTGAATGCAGGCAGGGGGATAAGTTAACGTGCTAACCAGCGATACACGCGCCGTCCGAAAAGGGCGACCCGAATGGCATGAGCTCTCCGCGTAGTGCATATAGCCATTTCCGGTCGAGGTGCACGACGTAGTGTGTATAGCTTTACTCTTTCAAGAATGTTGCCTACGTTCTTTTGAACATTCCCGGAATGTTCTCAGAACATTCTGGTGCTACGTGGGTTGGAATGGCGTACCAAAACTCATTTGAAATTTGCGGCACATTTGCCATTTTAATAAAACTTTATATATCGCGTGCTTTGCCACACAACTTTCGTGGGCATGTTTCCTTCCTTTTTATTTTCTCCTCCCAAATTTGTAATTGTGATGAAGGCATCATCCAAGGCAACCAACTGACTAGATCTCTACAATAGCGAATTTTTAATTATAAGATTCACGAAAACTTCCCGTGAGCTGCTCGGAGAGAAGTCAGCGTTACAAGAACTACGATAACCAGATCAAGTCGCATTCATGCGAATCATCTACAACACTCGCGAAAGATGGGTCAACTACCGTAGTCCAGCTTTCCGAGTCACCTACAAGAAAGCCAGCAAGGTGTGATACACAGATATTTGCCGATGGCGAGCGGGCAGGCCCTGAGAACAGCGAAGAGTGCCGTAGGCCCGCGATACTGCACGACACCGTTTTTCGTGTGCGGGGGGCAGGGGAAGACATTTTGACACGGAACCCATGAGGACTCCATACGGACGGCCGGATCGGAGTGCTCGGCCGAGTAGCCCGGACAGACATCGCTCCGAAACGAGCAGCGTCGAGTATTAAAACCGCACGCCGGCAATCGTCGGAGCCGATGCAGGTGCAAAGCGGTCTCTGAGCGGCCTTTGCACAGTGGCAGGCAAGTGGGCTAGCGCCCGCGACTGCTACGTTTCCGATGAGAGATCGACTCCTCGTCGCCGAGTGCAACTCAGACCCGTCGGAGGCGAGCCCGGACAACGAACGTGCTCGTTCACTTTATCTGGGCGATCTCCGGAGGCCGAATGCCCGCGGAAAGACACCACTAGGCCTCAGTGCAAAAGGGGAGTTTTCTGGATGTCAACTCACCTCGTTTTCCTTGTTATTTCGTATCCCACGAACCAGGTCGGTCAGGTTCTTGTCGAACATGCGCTCGAAGTTTCCCTTGACCTTCCGGAGGGCCATCTTGTCAACGGTGTCCACAAAACTACATTCAGTGTTTTGTTGTCGAAGTTGGAAAAGTGAGATTTGGGACCGAGCACGGATATCGCGGACAGACCGCTGGCCGTCTTGCGTGGATACGGACTAATCACGTGATTGACAGGCGACGCGCTGACACCTAGGGGGCGAAATGAAAAGGCAAAATTTTCGTGGATTACAAAATAAAACCTGCACATCATTGTCGTGGTAAAATGTGATAGTATAACGTCATGTCGAGTCCGCTTATTTGAATGACCATTTTTTTTCCATCGAGCGATGGTGCAAAAATTTACTATGAATAGATGCGTACAACTAGAAAAGAAAAACCCAATGAATTAGGCGGCGGCTTGTGCCACCTAGCCAGTAAGTTGACTCATCATCGGGAACTGCCTAACCTGAAAAAGTGCCTCTGGAGGTTTCCAGCTGAACCAACGAGGTAGAACGTAGAGGGGAAAACGACGGCTCTGAGATACAGGAGCAGCCGAATAAATATAGTTTGCCATCGTCTCGGTTTTTGTCACAAACATTACTCTATATGCACATTACTCCGTTCTCCCAGACAACGCAAGGACATCTTGAGGACATAAGTTGTCGACATGTGGATCTAAAGACCTTTTCATGATGTCTTTACGGGGTCCTCAAGTGATCCTCGGAAAGTCCATTTGTCCGGTCCCACCACGTGGTGAAGATGTTCTGGAAACGTCCACACAGATGGCATAAGCACGCCCTGAGGACATCCTAAGGACGTCTCTATGTGGATGTAGAGACCTCCCCAGGAGGTCTTTGCAAGTCTTCAAGTGACCGTCAGAAGGTCCATTTGTCCGGCCCCACCACGTCCTGAGAGTGTCCTGGAAACATCCACAGAGACGACATAAGGACATTCTGAGGACGTCTTAAGGGGCACCCCAGAGATTTCTGAGATGGCCTACGGGGTATTCACACGAGGGAGAAATCCCGGGGATTTCTCCCCGGCACGCGCGCATCACGAGATAAAAACGCGAGGCTTTTGCACATCGCAAAGCCTGACGTTTTCGTCGTTGGATGCGCGTGCCGGGGAGAAATCTCCGGGATTTCTCCCTCGTGTGAATACCCCTTATGGCCGTAACTCGATCTACGTGCTCTAAGCGCCCCAAGAATCCAACACTTGCAGTCCTCTGCGGCCTCTTTCCCTATTAAAAAATCTGATCAAGGATCGCAAATCTGATCTACAGATAGTGTCAACGAACCCAGCTGAATCTGGTCGATTGACGTACGGTGCTCACGATTGGCTCACGAGCGCCATTCGACCAGATTCGGCTAGGGAGGCTCTAGTTAGAGCACTATATAGCTCCTACGGAGTAGAGCACTATATAGCTCCTTCGGAGCAGAGTAGCGCAATCTAGAACGCCGCCTCTCGGCGACTAGCGGCGAACGCCCGGAGGTTCCAACTGCGGTCAGAAATGCATGGAGAACGTGAGAAAATCGTTGTTTCTTCAGTATTGTGGGAATATACGGAATGGCAATCATTTTTGACATAATAATGGAACATTTTAGAATAATTTGCGCTAAGTTTTGTGACCCGCAAGAACCTGACTTTTTAAAAAAATTGCTTGAGCGGCATCAAGCAGCAGACGACACGGCGACGTCACACCATTCACGTGACCCGCTCCGGCCAACCCGAAAAGCCCATCTCCGCTGCGAGCAAAAATCGTCTGCTTCAAACGCCATTGCCTTGGAAATTGCCTTCTCAAAATTTGCACACGCATCCGATATTATTAAAGCTTTGACAAAGTGTTTAGTGCTTTACTAACTTCATGACAGACTAGTTTTGAAAAGTGTGAACTCGCCGTTCATTTTTTAATCAGCCGTGTTGTATCGATCTCCATGTATTCTCCCATAGGGCGGGCCGCCTCTTGGAACCCTGAGTACCACGTGACTCGCGCCGAGCCGCTCTGTCGGCCATCTTGTCGGCAAAACACGAGGTTCAAAGGATTGCGCTACTCTGCTCCGTAGGAGCTATTGGAGCAGAGTAGCGCAATCCTTTGAACCTCGTGTTTTGCCGACAAGATGGCCGACAGAGCGGCTCGGCGCGAGTCACGTGGTACTCAGGGTTCCAAGAGGCGGCCCGCCCTATGGGAGAATACATGGAGATCGATACAACACGGCTGATTAAAAAATGAACGGCGAGTTCACACTTTTCAAAACTAGTCTGTCATGAAGTTAGTAAAGCACTAAACACTTTGTCAAAGCTTTAATAATATCGGATGCGTGTGCAAATTTTGAGAAGGCAATTTCCAAGGCAATGGCGTTTGAAGCAGACGATTTTTGCTCGCAGCGGAGATGGGCTTTTCGGGTTGGCCGGAGCGGGTCACGTGAATGGTGTGACGTCGCCGTGTCGTCTGCTGCATGATGCCGCTCAAGCAATTTTTTAAAAAAAGTCAGGTTCTTGCGGGTCACAAAACTTAGCGCAAATTATTCTAAAATGTTCCATTATTATGTCAAAAATGATTGCCATTCCGTATATTCCCACAATACTGAAGAAACAACGATTTTCTCACGTTCTCCATGCATTTCTGACCGCAGTTGGAACCTCCGGGCGTTCGCCGCTAGTCGCCGAGAGGCGGCGTTCTAGATTGCGCTACTCTGCTCCGAAGGAGCTATATAGTGCTCTAGCTCTAGTGAGGGTGGGCGCAACTGCTAAATCGGGGATCACATGATATGGATGCCATTTAATTGCTAAATTTTGCTGGGAGTCTACAGGGCAAAGGGTCGTTTTATTTCCTAACTCAGGTCATAAGAGCCCATTAATGTGCTTAAATAATTTGCGCAAGGTGTAAATGATTACTTTTCTATAGCCACCAGTTTTCTTTAACGCAAAAAAATGGCAAATTTCGCTGTATTGGACGCTGCTACTTCCTTTTTTCAAATTTTACAAAAAAAAAATCACCATCTGTTGGTAATGCTGCATAAAATCGTAGCGCGATAGGTTAAGAAACTGAATTTTGCGGTCGGTTTAAAGAGCCTGGCCGCTACTTGGGACACCCGATACTCATGGCAGCAGGCACGTAGCCAGGGGGGGGGGGTGGGGGGGGGGGGGGGGGGGGGCATAGGGCCCGGAACACCCCCCCCGCCCACACACACACACAAAATCTTCCATTTTGCTGGGCCCTCCTCTCCCCCCTTTCCCTCATACAGCATTTTGTCATGGGCGCCCCCCCCCCCCCCCCCCCTCCCCCGAAACAAAATCCGGGCTACGTGCCTGCATGGAAGATAACCAGGATACGTTACAGGAACTAGCTGGAATATCTGGAGAGGAAGGGGCACCTTGGGGCATGAGTTTCAGTAGTGACAAGTCTGGACGACGAAACGAGGCAATCCCTGAGGATACAAGACGTTGTCATAGACCATGTAGGAAAATACGAATATCTGGAAGTCTGGCTCATTGAGGGAAGGAAGTATCTAGAGGAACACGAGGAGAATATAATTAGAAAAGGGAGAAGAAACTCATCTATTATGAAGGTCAAAGCATTATGGAACTATAATAGATTGTTGTTTTGTCGGGAAAGGAGGAAACCAGGAGATGTGTGAGCCTCAATTAATGGGCAAGTCGCTACCTGGTTGTCGGGGAAAAGATAGAAAGATAGAAAGTTTACCGGATAGAAATAAACGATAGAAAGTTTACCGGCACCAATGGGACCCAAGTATTCGCAACTCTAAAGCCTCTATAGATGGCGGGGCGGTAGTTTTAAGATGGCGGAAGGGACGGCAATGGATTTTCCATGCCTGCTCGCTGATGCTGGTCAGTGAGCTTAAATTAATTTATTTCGCTGGAAATGCTAAACGTTCAGGGCAGGAGCATATCGCAGGTGACAAAGATGTTGACGTGCGTTGGAAAAACGAGCATGACGTGCTCGTTTTTCGTTAGCGTGGCGACCGCAAAACACACGCTTGAATTTTCGGAAACACTCGCGCGTCTCCTTTCACTAGCGAGTTTTAGTAGACCGGGTCTCCCCCTGCGCTAAGCCCCTCCGCTACCCGGAACTCTGCAGCCAAGGACATCGGCGTGCGTCCTCTTTTTTGGCGGGAAAAGCGAGAAATAAACTGTAGAAGAGTAGTAAGCTGGGCGAGTTGGTAAACGTTGAACATGGTTAAAAATCGCGCACAAAGAGACGAGGACAAACAAGGAAAGAGCACAGACAGGCGAGTGCGCTATTTGCCTGGCTCGCTGGCTCGCTCAGTCAGTTTCAGTTCCCAACAGGCTTTGTTTTTTGCTGGGCCAGCTTGACTTTGGTTGCGGCTAGCGAGGCTTAGGGGGAGACGGCGTGTGATTTCGGGCACAGTGTGCCGCGGGGTCGCTGCAAACACAACGAGTGCGAGAACCCCGAATTTCTGCGCGAGACGGAGCTGAATGGTAGCTAAAGAAATGGCTTCCCATTTGGCTGGTGTCTTTACTACGGCCATTCGCCAGCTATTCATGGACGACGTATACAATATTTCGGTAAGAACCCTGTTTTCATTTGGCTTATTTGTACAAACAAAAAAATTATTTTTTTTAATAAGGAGTATAGCTCCCAAGCTGAAATGTGTTTGCCTTTTTCTATTTAGTTCGTTTTGGACTGTTCCTTTTGGTAGCTGAAGCCTAACGAGATCTCTCGCTCTTTGGGTTTTTAGACGCCAGGGATAAATTTCCTCAAATCATCACACAAATTCCACAGTTATGAATAGCGCGCAGCTAATGGGCGCAATGTACCAGGCGTAACATGCATTATCTAGGCGACGTATCGGGGCAATTTCTTTTGATTCACAACTGCCATTCGTATATGTGCGTAATTATACATGAAGTAGCACGTTGGACTTTCTTGAACTACTCAATTCGCCTGGTGAACCCACTAGAGAGTTTTAGTAGATCGGTTTTGAGCTCCGACAACGATATCAGGTACGATATGGTGCATGGGCGTCCTTGTGTTTATACGCTTATTACGGCGTACGTTTTCTCCACGCTTTGACGATGACGCCTTCTAGGCGTGTGAAATGCGCGTCGCGGTTGAAACGTCTGGCCGCGGGCATTGGGCTTTCTCGCACTTTTGATATCGTCCCAAAAACTAACATTATTGGGACGATATAGTAAATGCGAGAAAGC